AGCTGCTTAACTGACTGAGCCACCCAGGCGCCCCAAGAGAAGTCTAGTTTTAAAATGAGGCACCCAGCTCCAGAGTCTGTGGTCTTTACCATTACATGACACTACTTTAGCAAAAAAAAAAAAAAAAAAAGGTTTATCTAGAACTAAGGAAATAGGATTGGTGAGAATTTAGTAATTTCATTAGAAACCTAGACACAATTGTAAGTGAAGATACTAGGAATTCTCAGCAAGTTATTAAAAAAGATGCAATACAACTAACCTTTCTAATCTAGATTGTGTGGTTCACGTAGGGGCAGAGCAACCGAAGTTCACATGAATAAATAACTTGATTAAAAAAATGCACTGCTGAGAAGAATCCATCTTTTCTAGCCATATATAAAAAGAATATTATTTCTTTTTAAAGAATAATTAAAATAAATACCAGAACTTTGCCATACTTTATTATATAATATGTTATGTAAAACCTTGTTGTGTTTTTCAGAAATTGTATCTACATCACTCTAGAATGGTTTTGGTCATTTTTAGTTAATCTTGTATTAAATCTAATGTTAATGGACATCATACACCAAACGTTGTTGATAAAATGCATGAAAGGGTACCTAAATGGATTTTTTTTTAATGTAGAAAATACTGCAAGAAAGCCAATCAAAATGAATGGTGATTTTTTAAAAATATTTTATTTAGTTTTTGACAGAGAGAGACAACAAGAGAGGGAACACAAGTGGGGGGAGTGGGAGTGGGAGAAGCAGGCTTCCTGTGGAGCAGGGAGCCCGATGCGGGGCTCGATCCCCGGACGCTGGGATCGTAACCTAAGCCAAAGGTAGACGCTTAACAACTGAGCCACCTAGGCACCCTGAATGGTGATTTTTGTATTAGTCACTAGAGATAAAATGACGAAGAAGAAAATCTATTTGCATAATGGAAAATACATTTAACTATAGTCATAAGTACCCCTTCTGTCTAAATAGACAACCTATTCAAATATGCAGCCAGTTATAATGTACTGGCATGGCAACCAGACTTCATGATGCATCTCTACTCCAGAATGTTTTGTTTCTCGTTTTTGGAGTAATATTCACACAACCTTGTAACTCCCATGGAACATTGCTTCCTGGTGTAAAGCTTTATCATCTGTCTATCTATCTATCAACTTTCATCTATCTACCATTTATTTTTCAGTCTTATTACTAAATTTTTCAGCCTTATGACCATAGTTTTGGTGTAAATTCTTAACTTCTTTTACTTTAACTCAGCTTTGATCCCCACAGCTTCTTGTTCCTATTTGAGATGAAGGAATGTTTCATCTTCTCCAGAATGTCCAAATTCTCTTCTTGGAAGAAGAGAGGTTCACTAGCTTCTCCCGGCAAAATCTGTCCTTCTCCTCATTTCAGATTCACATTTCTTCATTTTCTTGCATGTCAACTCAGCTTTAGACCCCCCCAACAGCTTATTAGAATCATTTCTTATTTTATATTCCTTCCAGTCTATCTAGTAACTCTTAATGTGCTCGGATATATTAGGAAGTTGAGAATTTTTCCACAAGGCTTTCCTGTTCTTATCAAGATCAGTCAAAAGTCTTGCACTTAGTATAGACACAACTTCCTTCTGTAAGGATGATCAAAATAGCATACTACCATCAAGTCATGGGGGCCGACCAATAAGCAAGGTGCACTTTGACTAGGGTTCATTCAGATACTAAGTGGACAGACTACTCCCTGGCCCCTACTCTGTAACTACCCAAGTTAATGAAATCAAACATCAGGTGTGGCTTTTATAACTAAGAAAGTGTGAAATAATCATTCTCCTTTTAGTACCCTAAAGACTTTCCTTCCATTTCCCACAAAGTCATATTTAATTGTTTTTTAACAAACAAAAGAAAAAAAAAACATTAAGCTAGATATGGAGCGTATATTCCAGACTACCCATAAATAATTTTGAGCATCTTTAAAATAGCTATTTGCCATTTTTAAATCTTTTGGTGAATATTGTAAAATGTTTACCCATTTAACAAGTGAGCCCTTCTAAAATTAATTTTAAGATTTTTTTTAGAATTTATTTTGCATACAAGTCTTTTGGAGATTTATGTTTCAACAACGAATTTTACCAGTTTGTGTCTCACCTTTTTACTTTTCTTTAGATTATATTTTGAAGGTCCAAAGTTCTAATTTTTCTTTTTTCATCCTTCTTTTCCCCAATTCAAGCTAGATTACAGACACATATTTCTCAAGAAGGTAATGTTAAAGAAGAAAAGCGGATTTTTAATAATCAAAGGATACAAACAAGAAATTTGGAAACCTTTTCCCCCTCTTTCGGATTTTCTAAATTTTCTACCAGGTAAGAAAGCAAAGAGTAGATTCTTCTTCCCTCCAAACCACATGAATTAACTCCATGCCACCCATCAGGGCTCAGGTCACACAAGTCACAGGTCAGAGTATTTTCTATCTACTCCAGCATCTCCTTCCAAGTTCAAGGCATGCCCTTTTGTTAAAAACTTTATAGTTCTACCCGAGAGGGAGACAAACCATAAGAGACTTTTAATCTCAGGAAACAAACTGAGGGTTGCTGGAGTGGTGGGGGTGGGGAGGGATGGGGAGACTGGGTGATAGACACTGGGGAGGGTATGTGCTATGGTGAGTGCTGGGAATTGTGTAAGACTGATGAATCACAGACCTGTACCTCTGAAACAAACAATACATTATATGTTCATTAAAAAAAATATACTAATGAATATTCTTGCAGTAATAAAAATAACAACCAAAAAACAATAAAAAATAATAGGAGAGCAATTATTTTTTTTAATTTTATTTTATTTTGTTATGTTAGTTACCATACAATACATCATTAGTTTTTTGTGTTTTTTTTAAAGATTTTATTTATTTATTTGACGGAGAGAGACACAGCGAGAGAGGGAACACAAGCAGGGGGAGTGGGAGAGGGAGAAGCAGACTCCCGCTGGGCAGGGAGCCCGATGTGGGGCTCGATCACAGGACTCTGGGATCATGACCTGAGCCGAAGGCAGATGCCTAACAACTGAGCCACCCAGGCGCCCCACATCATTAGTTTTTGATGTAGTGTTCCATGATTCATTGTTTTCGTATAACACCCAGTGCTCCATTCAGTACGTGCCCTCTTTAATACCCATCACCAGGCTAACCCATCCCTGCCCTCCCCTCTAGAACCCTCAGTTTGTTCCTCAGAGTCCATAGTCTCTCATGGTTTGTCTCCCCCTCCGATTTCCCCGCCATCAAAAAAAACAAACAAAAAAAAACCAAAAAACTAAATCTTCCTATTTGCAACGACGTGGATGAAACTGGAGGGTTTTATGCTGAGCGAAATAAGTCAATCAGAGAAAGACATGTATCATATGACCTCACTGATATGAGGAATTCTTAATCTCAGGAAACAAACTGAGGGTTGCTGGATTGGAGGGGGTGGTAGGGATGGGGTGGCCGGGCGATAGACATTGGGGAGGGTATGTGCTATGGTGAGCACTGTGAATTGTGCAAGACTGATGAATCACAGACCTGTACCCCTGAAACAAATAATACATTATATGTTCATAAAAAAAATTTAAAAAAAACTTTATAGTTCTTTGTTCCCTCCCCCAATTTTTATAAGAAAATTATCTGTTTTAATTTTGAATTTATTATCGTGATTCTTTTATTAATATGTCTTCCCACACTAAGGTGCAATTTTCGTAAGGGCAGGAATGATACCGATTTTTATTCAATTTATCCTCAGTGATAAGAGCAGTACACGGCATGTTGCATCTGTTTAAAAATATCTGTGTACCAAATGTCTGTGGTTAGTTAGGTCTGCCACGAAGTTGCAAAATCTTCTGTGAACTAGTACATATACAGAATGATCTGAATTAGATGTGCACTATAAATTGTATGTCTGATAAAACCTACATTTCTTGCTGTCTGTTGCTGATCTCTTCTTGCTTTTGGGCTCTCATGTCTGCTTACTACAGGTTAAGCCTGAGATTTAACTCAGTACTCTGATTTTGAGGCTCATTTAGCAAAGGTTTAGTCAGTTCAAAGTTCTGACTCCCTCTTCTGGCTGTTCGTGCCATCTCAAGATTTCCCTTCCATTTCCATTTTCCCAGGTTGGGTACAAGGGCAATTGTAACCATCTTGGCGTCTAGGGTGTAGGCCTTTCAGACACGTACTGTATTCTGCCAGGCCTCACTGAAATGTCTGCCAATCCCCAAGTCAAGCTGTGGCTGGTAATACTTTACTTTTTAGAAAGGGACATCCTGGCTCTATTACACTGAAAAGACTGTATCCAATGCTCTGCTGTTAATTGCTATGTGTGTTATAACAGAATTCAAGATTCTTCTTCTTTCTTAGTGCAATTTAAAACTGAAGAGGTTTTTTTGTTTGTTTGTTTGTTTGTTTTTTGGGGTTTTTTTTGTAGAACATATACAAGGGAGATAAACTGGTTGATTTAAAAATAATTGTTTTGGGGCACCTGGTTGGCTCAGTTGGTTACGCGACTGCCTTTGGCTCAGGTCATGATCCTGGAATCCCCAGATCGAGTCCTGCATCGGGCTCCCTGCTCAGCGGGGCATCTGCTTCTCCCTCTGATGCTCCCCCCCTCTCATGCTCTCTCTCTCAAATAAATAAATAATTTTAAAAAATCTTTAAAAAATAATTGCTTTAATAAACATATTTGTAATATGAAACGCAAATGATCATATTTATATAAATGTAAGATAATAATGGCAATAAAAGAAAAATGTATCTTTTTGCTTTAGAATATTCTAGGACTTGTAAAACGTAGATTCAGATTTAAGTGTAATTATAGTATAAACCCAGGTATACATTTGTTTTTAATGAATTCCTTGGGATACTAATCATGACTACATTGTATATTTTACATGGTCTTTACAGCACGATAATTAGAAAAACCATAGCATTATTATATATGAGTTGATATATAGGAATTATGATGAGAATAAATAAAGTTAGATCAACTGTACTTCTACAACCTTGGTGAGCATCATTTTCATTGCATTCTATGTGAATGCTTTCTCAGAGTACAATTCCAGAGTACAATGTTAATGGTGCCCTTAAGAGTAATACAACTCAGAAGCCCTGGAGGAAATAAGCAGCTGTACATCTGTCTTGATATGCCAATGTAATGAATTCCTAAGGGAAGGGTTGCTTCCCAAATAACCCATCTCATCTGGGTCGCCCCCTTCAAAAATCCAGGAGAGAGCTGATGTTCTCTGAGATTAGTACAGAATAATAATAGCAAGGAAAGTGGCAAGTATGAATTTTTACAAAGGACCTTTAATTTATAAAAAAAAAGGTATATAGGGCTCTATGTTTATAAAGATATATAGATCAAAAGCTAATAACAATAAATTTCAGAACAGAACAATTTACCATCATGAGAAGGCAAGCTCAGAAAAATATATTCAAATATTTGGAAAAATTGGAACATAAAGGAACTTCCTGGTTTTAAAATTCTAGATAGAAGTGCTTATCCTTTTATCAGAAAGAATAATATTAAAACAAATAAAATTATGAAGACTGAAATTATCTCTATAGTTAAGTAGATTTTCACATTTTAATTACATTACACATTATACAGTAGTAATCAAAAACAATGTGTATTTTTTAGACTCAACTGATTTTTTTTTTAAAGATTTTATTTATTTATTTATTCATGAGAGACAGAGAGAGAGAGAGGGAGAGGCAGAGGGAGAAGCAGGCTTCCCACGGAGCAGGGAGCCCGATGCGGGACTCGATCCCAGGACCCTGGGATCATGACCTGAGCCGAAGGCAGACGCTTAACCATCTGAGCCACCCAGGTGCCCCTAGACTCAACTGATTTAATGAAAATAAAATGATCAAACCTGACTCTATCCATAAACAGTCTTCTCGTAAGTCAATTTTGAGGTCATAAAGTCTATATTCCTCTAAAAACTTTCATCTTTTATTTTTTATTAAGGCTAAAAAAATATGGTTTTCCTGCAGCTCCTGGGTGGCTCAGTCGATTAAGCGTCTGCCTTTGGCTCACTTCATGATCTCAGGGTCTTGGGATTGAGCCCCGTGAACCCCAGATTGGCTCCCTGCTCAGGGGGAGTCTGCTTCTCCTTCTCCCTCTGCCTCTTGCCTGCCACCACCCCCACCACTCATGCTCTCCCTCTCTTTCTCAAATAAATAAATAAAATCTTTAAAAATATATATGGTTTCTTTTTTTAGATTAAGCCAGTTTTCTTGCTGAGTTATATGTTTTCCTTCTTTTTTATTTTTACTTTTTGTAATATTCTAAATATTCTGAGTGAATGAACCCAGTCTAAATCTAAATTATATTAGAAAAGCACTTGATTGTCTTTAACAAATGATAAATACAATTACCATCAAATAATTCAGATATCAGTTGAAGAACACAATTGTTTAATTTTCAGAATATTTAACTCTAATTATTGGAAGATGATCAAGCACCTTTATAATTAGTATCCAAATCAAAATCACTATTTATAATGAATTATATTATCATTAATAATGATGGACAGCTCCAGTGAGTCATGCTACTATTTAGGCAATTGTTATTTCCTGTTGCTAATAATCAAATGGGGGCGATGATGCTAATGAACATCTTTCAGAAAGGCATCCTTCACTCTGAGTAGATAAATGCAGATTACAACATTCACGATATCCCCCTCGTGCCTCAAGGTTTTTGTAAGCAATTCCACAAATTAAAGGGGTTAGTTTAGATAATCTTCCATCTTCAATCTGCTGTTTTCATTAAATTATTCTTCTTTAAATAGGATCATCACAATAGCACTCATCGAGAATCTGTATATGATAAATGGCTAAGAATTATTGAGTACTCCTGCGTGCTAGGCGCTGTTGAATCACTTTAGAGTTAACTCCTTTAAACTTTATAAGAAGCCTATGAGAGGAATGACTGTTGTTCACCATTGTGCAGATAAAGCAGCTGCACAGAGATTTCCTCTTTACTCCTTACCATACTGCACTATACTATTCTATACTCTATTCTACACTGCCTCTTCAACTGGAAAAACATCTTCATGAATGAATTCTAAATGAATTACAATTAGAAATGACTGGTAACTTTAGAAATAAATAGAGCAAAAATTAAATAACAGTGGTTTGCCTCTCTGTTTTCCAGTCTGATCCTTCTGCTT